CTCCTTACTGCAGAACGTCTCTCATGAACAAGAACATGCCGATCTAGATCCCTCCGCTTCGCGTTGGGCTCCTGATCAGCCTGTCGGTGTTATTTTCCCCATAATGACCGCGCCGCTGCACATTATCCCGCTTATTACATGGCCACATTCTCAACAAAGTAACGACATTACTCCCAATATTAATTGAAATGCTTTCGTGGATTTAGAAAATTATTTTATTGATTTGAAAAATATGCATCCGCTAAGAAAAATAGTCCGTTGTTACTGTTTGAACTAACGTAGCAACGGCAGGAACTGCTTCGATAGCGTTATTGAGGAGCTTTTTGATTACAGATTTGAAAACATCGTTGCTTGCTTTAAAAGTAGCACAAATTGTGCTACAAATTAGTATTTAGATATCCCTGCCCAAATGCCAAAATAACTGGCAACTGAATACGTGTCGCCGTCTCATGTCTATGTCTGGACCGCTGCGTAAAAAAGAGGGTTTCTGCCCGTTACTTCTCCACTGTTTTTTAACGGACGTTGTCTGATTATATAATCATATGCGCAGGCCGCTAGTTTCTGTTGATCTCCAGATTAACAGCAGCATGAGAATAACCTGCCGAAAGTGCCGATGCTCCATGGCGGAGGCTCCGCTAGAGATTGCCGGGATTTGCGTTTTTACCCCCTTAATGTCTGACCAATGGTTGAACAGCATTTCCGAGCACATGACTTGTGTTTAAAGTTTTAAATTCAAACCAAACCTTCTGAAAAATGAAACAATGTAACAAACTGTGGTCTGGTGCGCACCAGAGAGCGGACTATTAGGTGTGAATGCACCCTTAATGTTCAAAAAGTTCTTTATTTTTCACATACTGCCTGCGCTGCAGCACCTCTTTTCACCCTCTGTCTGAAACCAGAGCCCAGTATCAAACAGGAACAGTTTCCTGTTAAGCCCCATGCTATCTAGACCAGTGTCATGCCACGATAAGAATCAGAAAACCTTTATTCGTCCCACAGAGGGGAGATTTCAATGGTTACAGATGGAAACTGAGCAAAAGAAAACAACCCTGATGTTCAAATTGAAGTGCAGAAAACAGATGTCTGTTCAGTATTGTCATTATAAGTTTAAGGATTTGTGCTGATCTGGGCATACATTAGGTCTAAGTTGATATTGTTATCTTTCAGGTAATTTTTCAGAGTAGTCCAAACTTAATGTAATGTGTAGAGTAACTAAGTAACTTTCAGCAGTGATACATTAAGTAAAGTAACGCACTTTTTAAAAGTAACTAGTAATGTGTAATACATTTTTTTGTTTTGTTACCTATCTATGTCATTTCAATGTTGCAAAGCATGTGGGAAAGAAGCTTATGACATTAACAGTGAAATTGACAGCTAGGTACACAGAAATAGCAATGACAACTAAGCTCAGCATAAGGTTGTGGGTAATCGAAACTAAAACACAGCAGCTGAATCTGAAGCACAATGCAATACATTGTAGACAGTTGAAACTGACATATATCGCCGCAGAGGTTTCCTTTTAGAGTGATTGCCTCAGCAGCCAAGCCAATCCTGTGACGGGGTTGTTCTCTGATTGGCTGCTGTCAAATGTCCGTCCGTCATCACACTGCCTTCTCTGCTGTGACGAGATGTTTGGGTTGGTTCTAATGAACAACACGGTGAGCTCGGATTCACAGCTTTATATGACTGAACAGACAGAAATATGACTTATCCACAATGACATCACTTTGACTAGAGGCAGATTGTATGGATCTCTTATTTCTCTTTATCTCTTATGTGTTTATAAAGGATATACAGTTCTTCTTGTTTTGTGAAATAAATCATTAATGCGGATTTTTAGATATATGATGATGTATTATGTAATAATTTATAAAGATGGTTAAATAGATGCATTACATTTTTGTGGACAGCTCTTCAGGTTGCTTCTTTCCATCTCTTTATGATTATTATTTTCAGATGTTTATATAATTTTAAATGGAGTAGTAATAATGATCCCCTTTCAATCACATTAGTGTGCATGAAAAGTGACAGGTGGGCCCGCCCCCAATTATGCTAATGAGCCAAGTCCCGCCTCACTTTTGTTCGAGGTGGATGTCACACCTAGGTGTGATATCACACGTAGGTGTGAGATCCTTTGATGTGAGGGGTGAGGTGTCATCACACGTAGGTGTGAAATGCCCCCCTGTGTAGCGCCTTTGTTGTCTAATCCTTTGATGTGAGGGTTGAGGTGTTATAACAGGTAGGTGTGATTTCACACCGGTGTGTTATAAGCCTCTGATGTTAATCTAGGTGTT